CCCTGCATGACATTGCAACTCAATCCTAGAGATTAGGGGAAAGGGTTCAGGCTTGAGGGCTGCGCTGAGGGTGTTTAGACATGCGCATACCTAACCTGGTAAGGATGACAGTAGCAGAAAAAAATCCAGCAATCTGAAGGAGTTTATGCCAACACTGATAGCAGGAAGCCTGAAATGTCCCAACTTGCTGCTCAACATCTTCCGAAGCATCGATCCACGCGTAGCATAGGAAGAACTCAACAAACTTGCTCCAACTTCAATTTAGCAATCATTCATGGTTCTCCTCTATTTCAGTACGGTAAGTCAACATTACCCAAGCTCCGAACTAAGAAATGGGTGGTGTCTGAAAGTTGTGGTTTGCCTTCCAGGGCACCTCGTGAGGCTTTTTTTTTGGGGGTGACATCCACGGCGGCTTGTGTGTTCTTAAGGCACCTTGTTTGTACAGCTGGTTGCAGGCAGGGAGCAAGGCGCTCACCAAGGGCATCCTTGCAGCCAGCACACAGCTGCACTTCACAAAGCTTGACTGGCCACGAAGAACCGCGACATCTCCATCCGAAGGACAACACCACGCCTTTATCACCAGCATCAACATCAGACCAGCAGCTTGTGCTCAAAGAGCAAAGCTTGCCATATAACTTATATGCAAGCAAGCTGCGAACTTCGCCCGCTTCGCGACGCTGCCCTGCTGCCAATGTAGTGATGGTGCCGCCAGGCCTGCCGAGGTGCCAAGGGAAACTGCCCTGGTACATTCCCGGCATACATGTTACAGAAGACTAGCGTTACCTGTAGTAACAACTGTGAGAGCATACCGGCTATGGCGTTATCACATGTTCATAGCTTGAGTGCTTTCCCATCTAGCCTACAGTAGCACAACCGCAGTTTTCAACATTAGCCATCATACAAGGAAACGCTGCAATACATGCAGCATCCACTATGCATGTCACTCCTCATGTCCCACCAGGTACTGACATGCTGCATGCATGCCGCATGACATACCCTTTAAGAATCACACACACACACACCCGCGCACGCATACTAAATGTGTAGTTTGTTTACTTCACTCTGTGCTGAACTCGAAAGACGTCGCAAGGAGTCGATACAACAGCAATGAGTCAGTAGAACATAGTTGCGTTCTCCAGAACCCGCAGTCAACGACAGGCAGGGACTAAAGACGGCATGGCGAGTGGCGTAAACCCGTGAGCAGCTACAGTACTCTTGTCGCATCCCCACACATACACCAGGCCTAAGGTGTCGTTTTTGCTTTTGTGGCTTCATGCTGTTGTGGGCGGGAGGGGCGTTGTTGCCATTATGGCGTGCGCATGTGCGCGTATGCGCGTGTGCGCGTGTGCGCGTGTGCGCGTGTGCGCGTGCCCGTGTGCGCGTGTGCGCGTGTGCGCGTGTGCGCATGCGCGTGCGTGTGCGGTTGCCTGCCGGGTGCGGGTGATTATTTTCTGTCTGGCCCCTCCCACCGGGACGCTCAAGAGCAGAAAAACAACGTCCGGAAATACAAGGGCCTCGGCCTGTGTTTTTGCTGTTGTGGGGGCCACGGTTGGGGTACGGGTGCGTGTTTTTTTGGCTGTTCTGACAGGGGAAGGGGGTGGTGTTCGCCATTTTTTTGCTGTTGGCGAGGGCTGTTCTGGTGAGAGCGTGTTTTTGTTTGCCGTCATGGCGGAAAACATGCTGTTTTTGTTTGCTGTGGTGTCGGGGGGCATGTTGTTTTTTGCTGTTGTGGCGAAGCAGCGGGTTCATTGACTTACTGGCCTGCCTGGGTTCACTTCGGAAGGCCCAACAACAAGAAGCCCACAACAGGAAAAAAAGTTCCACGCACCAACATCGTTGTACATCTCCCTACATAAACTGAGAACCCCAAAGGTCAAGCGCGGATTGGGGTCCTAAGGAATTTCCTGCTGCCTTGTCTCTTTGCACAGTGCGGGAACAACTGTGGAGTTGACACGGCTTTCGTGACGGCTCAAGGTTTGCAGCCTAGAGTTTAGAGTTCGCGGTTTGACGTGGAGCTCATTGGGCCCCCCGCATGCTCAAAATCAACAGGTTCTCCGGAAAAAGCGAGCTACAAACCATTAAGTGCTTTTGTCTCCTTTAATGCAGCTTCACAGTCTCAACCCCTCAAGATCAAGTCACCGAAGTCTGTTTGCGACCGAAAGTCGAAGAGGCCAAACTGGCTCGTGAAGGCGTGAATGGCCTGCCAATCGTTACAAAGTTGTGGTAAAGGTTTGGAGCGTAGGATTTAGGAGTTCGTTCGGCTTAGAATAAGGGGTTTGAGGGTTTAGGCTTACATCAAGGGGTTTGGGGTGTAGGGTTTGAGGTCACCCCTTTTCTGCCTTCGCAGTCAAACCTGCAAGTCCATGCGGGCAGAAGAAAGATTCCTGCTTGCGGTGCCAAAAAAAACGGTTAAAAAACGGTTGTTTGATGGCTTGTGCTTTTTGGGGTCTTTCTTCCTGTTGTTTACAGCTGGGACACCGTTGGTGCCTGCAGACCTTTGTGTGCCCTTACAAGCAGATGTAAGGCGCAGAGACAAAAATCGAAACCAAAAACCCCAAGCCAGGAGAAGATGTATAAATGTAAACACAGCCCAAGCAGAGGTCCAGAAAGAGGCCAGGAACTGAAAGCCCTAAATCCCCAAACCCCTAACCACTGGGGGTTAGTAGGGAATAAGCGAGTATATTATAGGGTTTAGGGATATCAATGGGAGTATACGTGTGCACGGGGATCACATTCCCTTATTCGCTACTAAACCCCAGTAAGCTAACCCTATACTAATTCCCATATGGTAGCTTCCATAAAAACAGATAGCCCCAATATAGACCCCAATATATTCTAATCCCTGTTATGCGGACCCTCGAAGAAAGGTGCTAAACTGCAGCAATGCCCCCATAGAATCTGGGTTGCTGTTAGGAACTTAACTTAAGTTACCATATTGGGAACGCCATACTAATTCCCACATATACCCATTACGGTAACCCTAAGCCCTAAATACCCTAAACCCGAAACCCTATATACCCTACATATGTATATATATATATATACCAAGATGGTAACTTAAGTTATTTTCCTCAACAAGCAACCCAGGAATCCCACTATAACCCAATATAACCCTAACATAACCCAATACAACCGTAATATATTCCCTTATGTTTAATTTCATGTCCTAAGCCCTTCTGGCCAAGAGCCTCTCTTCGCAGGAAGTTGCCTCGCATCCTGAAATCAAGAAACACGTGCACGTTGGGTTTGTGGTTTAGGGTTTATGGTTCAAGGGTTGAAGGGTTGAAGGGTTCAAGGGTTTAAGGGTTTAGGGTTTAGGGTTTATGGTTTAAGGGTTTAAGGGTTTAGGGTTTAAGGGTTTAGGGTTTTAGGGTTTAAGGTCTAGCGTTTAGGGGTTAGGGTTTAACCACAGCACAAGGTCTCAAGGTGTTCAGGGTTCTCGGCGTAGGGTTTAGGGTTCAAGGGTTCAGGGTGTAGGGTTTAGGGACCCCGACCGGCCTTGGGTTGGGATAGTGTTGACCATTTGGCGTACACGGTCAGTCACACCAGCCTGCAGCAAATCAATGCCCCAGCGTCACTCATGTTGGTCCGGAGTAGGGTTTCGGGGGCTGTCTACTCAAACCAACGAAGTTTCCCAAAATTCTGGCTACCTTAAAAGATTCTATGGAGCTATGTAGGGGTATGTCAATATCAGGATATACAGTGGCATTAGCGAGCAGGCCCTTGGCCCCGTTTAGTCCACCAAACCCATCCCCGCACCACCACGAATCAGATAATGGAAAAGAATAAGGACACTACTGCAGTACAATATGGGATTTATATACAGTACATATTTGGAATAAAGGGCATAGATAATGGGATTATATGGACAGAGTATATATTGGGAGTATACAAGGACATCGGAGATCAAGACACAGAGCATACAGCAAGACGCGTACTACCCTGCCCCAAATCAACAGGGAACCCCACATAGGCCCCCTTCAAAAAAACTGCAATCTTTTGAGAGCCCCTTTTGGGCTCCGCGCTAGTTCGCGGGAGTGCCGGAAGAGATTCACTGAGCACCCTGCTGGTGAAGGAGGCAGCTTGATGCAGCAGCATTGCTGCACCTTGGCGCTCCCAGGATCTAGGGTTTAGGGTTTAGGCCTGCGCCCCAAAGATTACATAGATAAACTGTCAACCCCAAAACCCAATGCCCTAAACACCAAACTCTATGCAAACCCTAAACCCTCGATGAACTCCAAACCCCCCGAACCCTACGTTACCCCAATACAGCCTATATGGGCCTCATAGTAAGTCCTATATAGGCAAGAAATACATCCGAACAGGCCCTAGAAAAAAAAACCTCCAGACTTCCCAGAATAAACCCTACATAGGCCGTAGAGTACAGCCTCTTGAGGCCCTAGAATACACCAAGGCTTCAAAGAAGACTCAGCGCCGGGCGCACAAGCATCGGCCGTCAAGCTTGACCATGTTTGCTATGTCGTTTACCTGGTGGCCTCTACTGACATGGTAGCCCAAAAACTTGCAGCGTCGCGCTTTTTGCTTGTGTATTGCTCCACATCTCCTATCTGCTCCTCTTTCTTCTGTTTCTTCTTCCCCTCTTCCCTCTCCTCCAGGCTACTTCCCTTCTATCCCTCACTTACCAAGATCCACTGCCCCAAAGGGCAAGTCCAGTAGGTTCTAGTGAAACTAGGTGAACCCGCATCACCCTAAACTTGATGTTGATCACACCCCCAACTTCGCAAGGAGGAACAATCGAAGCCTGTTCGAGATCACCCGGCTTTGGACTTCATAACCTTCTGATGCAAGGTCGTCCTTCTCTGTAGCACGCACCTGACCTGCGATTCAAACTCTCAAGCTCCACCCACTCTCCCCTCCTTTGCTTCCTGTCCCCTCCCCCTTCGCTTGGCAAATCACGTTTTGAGCACAGGCCTGCCAAGAGCTGAAGAACACACCAAGCAGCCAATCTTTTTGCCACTTCCTGCCGCTCTGACATACCCCTATGCTTTACACAGTTTCTCCACCGCCTCCAGTGCTGCCTGTGCTTCATATTGCACGCCGGATGGCGACACCATGCCACGGCCAGAAGAAGCATAGCTCTGGTACACATCACGAAGATAAGCATTGGTTCTGGTACAGTCTAGCTTCAGGTTCTCAAACTTCTCAGGATCACGAGAGACTGCAGCTGCCCAAGCCCAGGCGCAAATGCACCAGTGACCACCATCATCCACCACGCTGGACAGGTCGTTCGCATCATACTTGGCGCTGGCTTGAAGGAATTGACGGCTCATGGTCACACACACTTGATGATATCCACGGTCAGATGGCTCCCAGGCACAGAAACCAGTACGCGTCCAGCCCGTTGTTGTATCCCCCTCCTGAGAGCAAGGCTTGAGCTCCTGGCCATACAAATTGAGATCCTGCGATCCGACAGTGCTCACGTCACCACGGCTCTTTGCTGCCAGCATCACCTGCGGCTGCGATACCCGTCCGCTGTTACCGGTGTGCTGGTGCTGGGGTGAAGAAGCAAACTTCCCGTTCACAACTCGGGAGACTGTATCTTGAGCATTCCAAGCGCTGCCCAACCAAGAAACGAAGCAGTTCAGTCTGCCGAGCAGGGCTATGAAGAGTAGACAGCAAATGGAGCGAAAAAAACTCAAGCGGCGGGATGGATCCATTACAAGGATGCCGAACTGGATTTTGTCTTAAATACCAAAATCAAAATCCATCAAACTCCACAACATCTCTGTGCAAGGTGTGCGTTTGTGCCTTACTGCACAGCAGACCTCCCATGGAAGCTTGTCTTTGAGCCACACAGCATCATCAAGACCAACATCTTGCTCAGATTGATTCGCACAAGTTGGCTGACACTAGCCTCGCGCACGATGCTTCGATATGCCGAGCTATCTTGAACAAGGGCATTTCAATCATGGCTGGGCAAACCTGCATCCAAGAGCAGGGCAAGAAGCAAATGCGTGTTTTTTTCCGCTACGTCTTCTGCGCAGTAGAGCTGCCGTTGCAAGCCACGCAACAAAATCGTGCATAATGCTGGCTGTCCATTTGGCCTGCCACTCTTGGCAACAAGTTAGAAGATCCAGAGGGCAGTCACAAGAGTCAGGAGATTTAGATCTGTCGTGGCCCCGGCCAGGCAGCGTAAAATTTTGCACATTAGCTCACAATTGGATTGATAAGTGTCCATTTAGCCAAACTTCGGCCACTGTGGCCTTCATAGCAAAGACGAAAGCTTCAAATCTCTTCGAGGGGCTGCTTTTCCAGCCCGCTCATGGGATGATGGCCCCAGAGCTCCCATGCGAATTGCAGCGATTTTCAGCTTCTTGCGATGCTTCAGTTCACCTTCTGGGCAGAGATGGCAGTACTCGCAATTCTCAGCATTCTGACACCCCTTCGGCTTCCACATCCAAGCACACGGACGGCATTGCCCAGAAGCATGCAAAGCCGAGCCCTTCGATGGCATCGGATTGCGCGGTTGAACCGCTTGAACTGGCTCTGGGTTTGCATGGCTTCCTTGGTCCAATTGGTGCTGCACCTGTGCAGGTGGATTGCGCACCTCTGAATCAAGTCCCAAAACCGACTCTGCCATCATCACAGCTTGGGCTTCGAGATGCTCTGAGCGGGCATACTCTTCACGGCGAGTCTCAGGCTTCTTCTTCTGCAGCACTGGACCATCCCTGCCTGACTGGACCACCGGTACGAAGACCGTCGCGTCTGCATTCAAACACGCAGGCGAGGGAGTCGTTACCACACATTCCGTCGGTGGCAAAGAAAAGCTGTACGCAGCTTCAGTTGCCTTTGGCGTGGGGGTAGCGGCCCACAACACCTCGGGGTCTAATGCTTCCCCACCAGAAGCCAAACCCAAAGCCTCAAACCCCTAAATCCCCCAAACCCTAAATCCCATCAACCCCGAATCAGTAAAATGGTCCGGCCTTTGGAGTTCTCGCATCCTGCACACCCTGCCCATTCTCTCCCCGCGTCTCCTCGTTGCCGTCCTGTCCATGTTTTGAAGGAGTTTAACCCTAACCCTGAAACCCAAAAGCCTAGGGCTCAGGGTCCTCCCTGGAGGCATTTGAAGAGGCTGCCGGAGAAGGCGGTGAACCAGATCGAATTGTAGTAGTTCGAAGGCTACCTGACAAGAAAAAAGTGCGTGCGCCCACCTGTGAAAACCTACTTCGAGATTGACAGTTACGCCCTCTCTGTCTTGCCTTAAGTCTAAAGCAGAAATCTCTGTGGACAGGTTGCTCGTTGGAGTGGACGGTCCACTCTGTAGGCTAGCCAGCTTGTGGCGTGCTCGCTGCAAAGGCAAAGGTCCAGCCGAAACTCGGTCCCTCATTGAACCCTATTCGCTGGCCTGGTAGACGGTTCCAGTCTCTTTGAGCCTACGTCTGCAGCCAATGTGCTGCCATGGAAAGTGATCATGATACCTTGCAGCACATTGCACACATGTCAACTCCACTGCAACCCCCAGCTTGTTTGTAGCTTGCCAACATGGGGTCGCCGCGGTATGCAAAGCGAAGGCTGCCGGTTGGCAGATGGTATAAATAGCTTTGCCTCCACGACAGGTCTCAGCACTCTTTGCCTGAATGACGCGAAGGGAAATTTGCATTGACCGGTTGCACATGCATCACTACCAGATCAAGCTCTGCTTGACCAGCAACATCCAGCGGCCCATCTTTTGCCGCCGAAAGGTGCCAGAACTGTCTGTACAAGCTCCCTAACTAGGCAGCACTGTTTGTTGACAATGGGGTGTCAGTGGACAGTGCTCAAGGCTGCATAATTTGGCTTGTAGCTCATGGGGCCAGGAGACTGAGCAGGAAGAGTTCCAGGCAACCCGCCTTGCAGAAAGCAAGAAAGCAAGGCTGCGAGTTTCAAAGCACGCACTTCGCACACGCAAACCACCATGTACCAGCAGTTCCTATGTCATGTTCAATGCTTCTTACATTTGATTCGCCGTTGTTGGGAAAATGTTCCTGAAGCCTAGATTCGTCCCTGCATAATCCCTATAATCCCTATGTAGGGTCCTGTATAATCCCCACACACTCCCATTTTCACGTGACCCTTGTGCTGCCTGCCGATCTTGACCCCCATCGAGATGAACGCGTGAAGCTGCCCCCCCTGCCGGATGTGATGTGGGGCTTAGGGTTTTTTAGGCTTGCCATGC